ACACACACACACACACACACACACACACACACACACACACACACACAGACAGATTATTTTACCAACCCTCATCCGTCACAGGTGGTTCTGTCACGTGGACGATGATAACTACGTGAACGTGCGCTCCCTGCTGAAGCTCTTGTCTCAGTACAGTCACACACAGGACGTCTACATCGGCCGGCCCAGCCTCGAGCGACCAATAGAGGCCACGGAGAGTCTCGGCACCTCTCAAATGGTAAACTTTAATCGGTTGATTGTTCAAGTCTGCAGCTCCCTGCTCCATAACTGAGATATGCATCTAGGTCTCAGTCTCTGGGGGGTGTTGCTCAGCCTTACAACCTTGCAATGAAGTGAATGAAACAAGGATTACGCTTTAGCTCGTGATGACAAAGGATACATAACTTGGCTGCTAACAACAAGAGCTAACTATCGCCTCAAACACGTTGCCCCTTTTCCTTCCGCTCCAAGAGCATTATGGGTAGTGAAGTCCTTTCTAATACAATGTAAGGCCTCTAAATTATCTTCCGTACTTATTACTTCATAAAGCCGAAATATTCAAGAGACAGTACAGGCTTCTTTTAACTCAATATCTGTTTTACATGAACTATTAACTTCTTAACTTCCTTTCAGGAATAAACATCAGTTTCATTAAAATAACAGTTGTGTGTGTGTGTGTGTGTGTGTGTGTGTGTGTGTGTGTGTGTGTGTGTGTGTGTGTGTGCGCAGAAGCAGGTGCGTTTCTGGTTCGCCACAGGCGGAGCAGGCTTCTGTCTGAGCCACGGCCTCGCTCTGAAGATGAAGCCCTGGGCGAGGTAAAAACCTTCACCAACAGATAAAGGACGAGATATCTTTCGGCACAGTTTTCAGCGACATCGTCAAACCTCCCTTCTCTTACGCTCTCTTCTTCTTTCTCTGTCCAGCGACGGCGCCTTCATGGCGACAGCTGAGCACATTCGCCTCCCGGACGACTGCACCGTCGGTTACATCGCGGAGGCGCTGCTTGGCGTGAGCCTCATCCGCTCAGCGTTGTTCCACTCCCACCTGGAGAACCTGGGACTGGTGTCGGACATACACAACCAGGTACACACACACACACACACGCACACACACAGATTTATTGATCTGAAAACTCTCTGAACACCTTGTGTTTGTCACCCTTTAGGTGACCCTCAGCTACGGCACAGTGGAAAACAGCAGAAACATCGTCAACCTGAAGGGACCGTTTTCAATAAATGAAGATCCTACAAGGTAAAATATCCACGTGTATCAGTTTACGGCAGTGATTTTGTTTCTTCGATATGCAGAAAGGAGAACAGTACAAAAGAGTGCGACATCTGTGTGAGAAACGTCTCTTATAATTTCCAGAAAACTGGAGGCGATGGCATCAAAGTGCTTCTTTTGTTTGACCAACAATCAGACACATAAAGAGAGACGATTTATTATCACTTCAGATAAATAAAAGTATCAAATCCTCACAATAGAGAAGAAACATTTGCCGTTTATGCTAAATCAATCGATAATCAAAATAGCTGCTGTCCATCATCTAACCATTAAAATCAAGATAATGTGTGTAGTAGTGGTAAATACGTCTGCAAAGTATAATTTGACCGGCTCATCCTCTGCGGTGTGATGAGGTCGATCTAACCTTTTCTTGAGAAAGGAAGAAAAAAAAAAAAAAAAACCCACTTCTTTTCTGAGGTTGTTGTTTTTTTCATAAATTGATAAATTTATAATTGAACAGAATATTCAAGTTTTTATCTTGTAAATGTGTTTTTTCCCGTTAATTCACGACTTTTATCTCAGAGAATAAAAGCATTTTTCTTGTAAAGGTCTGTTTTTGTTTTTTTCTCAGAATATACCCCCCCCCCCCCCCTTTAGCTTGTGAATGCTCATCTGTGAATGCTCAGTGTAACACAAAAGGTGACCTTCTCTCTGAATATCTACAGTACGGGGGCCGTGACATCTCACTGAAAGGAACGACATAACGGGCAAACAAAACAATTCACAGCATAAAACAAAGACCTTAAAGATCTTATCTTTGGCCTTCCTGACATTAAGGGGATTTATTTTTTATTTCTCCAGCTTCCCGTCTGTCTTTCCCCTTCTTTGCTTTGTCCTCGACTCAGTAATTGTATCATTGTGTTTTTGTTTGGGCTAATTGTAATTATTGCTGCAGCTTGTCAATGGACTCTGATGGCAGCGTGCCCGGGGGGGGGGGGGGCTGGACGTAATGCGATCAGCTCGTTGACCTGCTGGTGGACGGGTTAATTGAAAAAGATTAAAGATCTTTTCAAACAATCCATAACAGATACTGTTTATTGTATTTTATCTGATATTCACAACGCGGCCCTGCAGCTGCTCCGTCTGCGTCAGGAAACGCTTTTAGTTTTAGAACGTGTACTACAATGCTCCTTTATGTAACTCTTTCTCATGTGTGTATGTTTTTACTACAGTGACAAGCTTCCTGGCTTTGTGCATTGTGTGCATGAGTGTATGCACACGGCTAATTGTATTCAATTATTTTGAAATCCCCAGTTGGCGGCTTCCAGGCATTGTGACACTGGTTTCCCTCTCTGTCTCAGGTTCAGGTCGGTCCATTGTCTGCTGCACCCAGACGCCGCTCGCTGCCCGAGCCCCCGGCCGCTTTAACGCCCGTCCAGAGACACGGAGGGACGGGGTGGAGGAGGAGAACTGAGCGTCCTCTGATAGAGGAGGAAGTCACCGCAGACATCCAGGAGTCGCACTGCTGCCCTCTTCTGCCCCCCCCCCCCCCCCCCACAAGAGCCGCGGGAAACATTTGGACGTAGATGTTTTAACAGCGGTCCGAGTGGAACACTGACTTTTTATTGATTTGACATCTGAACTCTCACCCTGTGAATTGTCGTTGGGCGTCAAAAGGCCAAACACTGCAACAACAGAAAAAGACTTATGAACATTATTATGAAAAATAGAAGAGACTGCTCTTCTATTTTTTTTTTTTTTTAGATCCTGAGAGTGGTCATTATAATAACATTGTGTGCTCACCAAAGTAACCGCTGAGATCCATGCTTAGCTACGACAAAGTCAGATCAGTCATCTAATCCAACTCTCGGCAAAAATGCAAAAAAAACCTTCTATTTCAAATATGTTTAATTGTTCTTTTTAAGTTGAATCATCTAAACCACTTTATTTAGAGGTAAAACTGAAAGTGGGCACACTTGCAAGTCGCTTCTACTCCCATCACACTGGAAAACAGTGTGTGCATACAAGTACCGTAAGTAGAGGAGGTCAAAGTTGAACCACGAAGTCATCTGTAAACTTGCTGTTGGCCTTTTATTTTATTTGTCGAGTAGGTTTGACCGGTTTGTTTGACGGTGAAAAGATGAAGGATCAAATCAGTCATATTTTTATAATCTGAAGTTTTATCTTGTCAGCGTTCAGTATTATCTTTTTTTTTTTTTTTTAAGTATATCATCATGCCTGAGCACCTTGCCGTTATATTTCTGCTGGTTTAGTTGCACTGTTTCCTCCTGTCTTCAGTCTTCGTGCTAAGCTAAGCTAACTGGCTGCTGGTTCCAGCTACATATTTGCCGAGCGTCTTGATTCTTTCCAACTAACTCTTGGCAAGAAAGCAAATAAGAGTATTTCCCACAATGAACAGACTATTCTTTTAAAAACTCAACTCATCCAGTGAGGCCTGTTCCAAATGACTCTCCTGGTAAGCCCTCATCGTGTTCGACTGCTTCTGAAACGTCTCTCACAGTTAGCAGTGTAACAAAGAATGACTCATGTTGGGTCGTCTTCTATCTTTCTGTGCATTGAAAGCATTTGTTGCAACTGAGTGAAAGTTATTAAGTTAAATTCTGTCCCTTGTTAAGTGAATGTATGTGATGAACCGTTGCTTCTGAAGCGTACATGCTCTCTCCAGTATCTGGACTGTACGCAGACATGCAATAAAAAAACGTTTTTTAAAAAACAACACCTTTCCATCTCTGTGATTGTGAACCGGGGGATTTTAAATGAGGTTGTTAAGGGACACTGCCTCCACCTCTGACCTCTGACCTTGTTTATGAGCTGGTGGGTTCCTGTCTGGAGACCACCGCCGCCCCCACTACAACAGCCGTCCTCTTATCTGATGGAGCCATGCACAAGGCCCTGGAGAGATAAAGGCAGAACCAAAACATTAGCGGAGTGTGTGTGTGTGTGTGTGTGTGTGTGTGTGTGTGTGTGTTGTGCGCGCGCGCGTGTCTTGTGGCCTCTCTCCCACTGTGAGACGTCAGACTGGTTTAACCTGCTACAGAGTGACATCTGCTGGCTGCACGTGTTACTGCAAAGAGCAGCAGCTAGTTTTTGGTTATTAAAACTGTCTCTGCTGCTTATCCTGAGCCGTTTTTAGCGTTTTTAGCTGTATATTGTAACTGTTGCCAGACTTACAACCCTACCATAATGCTTGTTCAAACGTAGGGTTTATTAAAAGTTTATATCAAAGAGTAAATTAAACATACATGCAAAATTAGCTCCTTTGCTATATTGTATCAGTTAAGGCTTTGTACTCTGTGGGACATTTTATTTGCAGTTGGCTACACATCAACTCCAGCGACAATACATGCAGTATATACGTGTAGCTAGAGGAACAGAATATGATGTCGGTGGTCCTTTTGCAACAGTTTCTAGATTTGAGGCTGAAATCATCTTACCTTGCACGGCAGCTAGATTCTCGCGAGAATAAGAATCTATCACAGGACAGACTGAAACGACGTTCTTGTTTTGTTTTTTTACTATTGAACAGAATGTAATGGAAGCAAACGTGCATTTATTGATACAGAGTGAACACACAGAGGATGCATTTCAGGTATGTCTGATGTTTTTCTGATCATATTTGATAGATTTGTCTGAAACTAGGAGTTCATTTTGAATGCTTTCTCTTTGGACTTCTGCTTTAGAATTAAATACAGTACCTAGTGAAGCACACGGAGGCTGAGGACTAATGTTTCTGAGTTCAGATCTCCACTGTATTTAGTCACCTTGACTTCTTTTCTAATTAACTGCTTTTAATAAACAAAGTGTCTAGATTTAATTAAAATAAAACAATACATTGATAGATAAAATACACCATTCTGATTTCCAAAAATGATACTTACATCCAACAACTGTTGTAAAACAAATGGAACCATAAGACGGTTAAAATGTCACATTAAATGCACTAAAACTACAAAGATGAGTGGAGATTAATGGAGGTAATTACTAATTACCTTATTTCATCACTGTCAAACACTGTCCCTCTCTAGTTGACATAAATGGTAGTGCATAGGTATATATACAGTATATATACATATATATATATGTATAGAACTGCATGTTTAATTGATTGGCCTTAAGCAGAAGTAGACAGTTTGCAATGAATCATCAATAATAAAATGATGGAAGCTGAATCAACGTGGTATGAAAATGTGTTTCTCGCCTATCACGCGAGATCTTTCCAAACTTTCCCTTTGTGCTTTCAGTTTCTGAGAGCTTGCCGACCCGACAGATTCATCTGCTTCTTTATAATCTACCCAGCAACAGTGCAGACACACAGTATCAGTTACTGTGTGTCTGCACTGAGCAGTAAGAACTAAGGACAAGGACCTGAATGAAAAGATGAACACTTGACGGACGCCTCTCTGTTTGTTCACTCACATTAAGAAAACAACCTGCAGATCAGTACGTTAAAGTTGCTTTAATTTCTTCTTTTTTTTTTAAACATTTAATTCCAGGCTGGATGATATCATTACCACAGTTTTGACATGTACATCATTAATATCTTAGTTAAACCATCGGAAAATAAAAACAGCCATAGAAAACAATGTTTGCCCGTCACATCTGGACAGAGGTGTACTTGAAGTCCTGTAAATACCGCACACACACACACACACACACACACACACACACGTGGCTGACTCTCCAGCACCAGCGTGGATCTTTTGATTTTTTTCTTCCTCCCCATCAAGACAGACTGCACCAGATCGGTTAAATCGCACAGGAATTCAAATACAACTTTCAGTCAGCTGTGCAGACGACACTGGAATAGTTTTATTAAAACATTGCAAGACAGAGAGAGTCATTCACCATTAATAAGAGAGGAAAAACGCTGCTCTTGCCTTTGTTCTCCTACAAAACAGCTAGCTATTGTTTTATCTTTAAAGTTTGAATTTATTTTTTTTACAAGACAGAGAAAAAAAAACAACCCGTGATATGAAGAGTGTTGTAAGAGTTTTAAAAACATTATGAAAGGCCATTAATCAGTGACGAGTCCCACAGATCTTAACGTTGTTTGCATTTATGGTGCTAAAAAAAAGAACAAACCCCACTGTAAAGTACTAGACCATCGGTAGCATTGTTACCATAACATGGACATCTTCTCTCTAGCAAAGTCACACATGTAAGATTGTCTCGCTTATACGAGAAGTGGTCATTGATTAATAATAGAATATTAAAATGCTGTACAGGAATGGTGGTTGGATGTTAGGGCTCGGCTCACTCTGAAATGTGGTTACTACGTTACCTACTAATCACCCATAATGCAAATGGTTATCAGCTGTGGGAGGGCGTGCAGTCACTACAGCTCTAGATGTGAATGTAAACGGGACAAGAGGGAAAGATGCATTTTCATAGGAAACTGTGGTGTGTGTGTTTGAATATGTATTGTCTGTACAGCATGTATGTGTGTGTGTGTTTTAATGTGTGTGTGTGTGTGTATGAGGGCATGCACGGCGTCTGTGCAGAAATGACTCGGGATCACACTGATCACTGTACACACAGTAACACTGCGATAGAGCAACAGCCAATCACGCTGCAGCGTTGTCATACACACACACATACACACACACACACACACACACACACGGGTTCACGGATGCAGTTTTTTATACACTGTACAGAGAGATTTAGAGCGGGAGGAAAAACCACTGGCAGTGTGTTTCACTTCTCCAGCTCGCAAAGTCACCTTGAAGAGAACTTGTGCTTGTGGGTAAAAAGATAAAATAAAATAAAAGAAAGAAAGACAGAAAGACTGGTGTCTAAAGGTCGATCGACGGTCACCAGTTAACAAAATAAAAGCACAGGAAGAAAGAAAAAGCGGTAGAGAAGAGGAAACAGGATACTACTCGGTCACAGTATCACATCACATGAATTCAGCTTATGATGAAACATTAAAAAAACACCCACTTTCCCTCATTTTGTAAGACTATTTATCAGGGATTTTCAGGATTCCAGGATTTGATGGAGGTGTTTTATTTTTACTGCTTTTTATATTCCTGATCACATCCCTGAATGAACGCAAAAGTAATAAAAAACAATTAAAAACGTTTCCGTCGCTCCTCAGTCCTGATCGTCTTCTTGACCAGCCCTCATAGCACCTGGCAAATGTGTAGTCGCAATTTCCAGTGAGTCTTATTCCACTTCTGTCCATTGTTTTTCTTTTTTCAAGTGTCGTTCCCTTTAATTTACAGTCGGGGGGGGGGGAAACATTCCACGTGATTTCGTTCCCCTTTATTTTGAGACGTGTGGAGGCAGTAGAAGAAGAGGACAGAATCAGGCATTCAGAGTTTTTTGGCACAGTTTGAGCCTTCTTATGTCCCTTTGTCTCTCGCTTCGACCCCCAAAAATTCAAATCAGTTATTCCACAACAGGATTCCTGGCTCACGTTCATAACGCGACATGTGCACTGTGAACGCACGTAAACAAATACAGAGAGAGAGAGATGTGGACACACTTTTCAAGTCTTAGTTAGACGACAATGTTAAGCTAAAGACGGTGTGGATGTGGTGGTACGTTTTCTATCTAAACATGGCTTTCTAATTCACTGGCTTATTATTTATACACGTGTGTGTGTGTGTGTGTGTGTGTGTGTGCGTGTGTGTGTGTAAGAGAGGTACAGCAAAAACGTCCATGGTAAACACGCAGCACACCACATTACCAGTAATGATTCAACAGTATACTTCTCATGGAATGAGAGTAAAGCACACGTTTACTATTTACAGGTCTGTACAGTGTGTGTGTGTGTGTGTGTGTGTGTGTGTGTGTGTGTGTGTGT